GTCAGGAGATCGAGACCATTCTAGCTAACACAGTGAAACCCCGTCTCTACTAAAAATACAAAAAAATTAGCTGAGCCTGGTGGCAGGCGCCTGTAGTCCCACCTACTCAGGAGGCTGAGGCAGGAGAATGGCGTGAACCTGGGAGGCAGAGCTTGCAGTGAGCCGAAATCGAGCCACTGCACTCCAGCCTGGGCGACAGAGCGAGACTCCGTGTTAAGAAAAAAAAAAAAAAAAGAGGTAGAGATGGAAACTGAGGCAAAGAGTGACACACACACAGAGACAGAGGGAAATGAAAGAGTGAGCCAGACAGAGCGAGAGGCCAGGAGAGGGACCGGGGCCTTAGCCTCTCCAGGAATGGGGGAGCCTGGCTGAGGGCGGCAGGAAGTGACGGACACTCCCAGGCCACTGCTGTCCCCTGGGTGACTAGGCCACAATGGCCTCCTTAAGGAGGGAGAATAATGAGCTCGTTAGGGCCAGAGTGAGGCCAGCTGCACACAATTAGGATGTTAATAAAGTCCTCTGAGGTCAGGGCTTGGCCTAGGACAAAACAGCTGGTGTGGGGAGGGGAGACCCCCACTCCTTCCTCTCCCTCTGAAATCCTCTCGTCCTCCCGACTCCCCACCCTCCAGCCCTGTTCAGCCCAGGATTGCACCCAAGGATGCTTCTTAACCCCTTCTTCCTAGACAGACCTCGGTTAGGATCCTAGCTTTACCACTCACTGTTGGCGTGACCTGGGGTAGGTCACTGGCCCTCTCTGAGCCTCACTGGCACACCAGAGTAATATTAAGTACCTGGGGATGCCCAGTGGCATCAGGAACATACAGTGTATGCAATACCCAGAGATTTTCACCAGCGAGTATTTCCCGAGCGCCTGGTATGGGCCAGGTCCTGTTCCACGCACGAGGACACTGCAGTGAACAACACCCATCCGGGACTCAGGCTCTCCTCCCCCATCACCCAGGGACGGCACATGTGGGGCTCGATTGCCACCTGTGCCCTGGCCCTGAGGCCTGCTGGAGAAGGCTGGACTTCAGGCTTTGGGCACAAACCCAGAGGATTTCGAGGCAGGATGAGATTCAGAGCTTGGAGTTTGGAAAAACCCAGGAGGCTTTAGGTGACTTCCAGGCTTCATGTTTTCTTTCCCCATGAGTTACTCTCACTCCTTCACATCTGGCCTAACACCAGGTAATTCAGAGCTCAGAATGTGGGCTGTGCTCATTTCATGCCCAGACCTATGTAGGGTTTTGGTGTCCAGGTGGGGAAGGGTGCATGGTGGAGCTAGGAAAAGAGGAAGACAGGCCTTTCCTCAAACTCCTCCTCATACGGGCTTGGGGTGGGGGAACAGCAGCAGCCCGCTTCCAGAACCCTCAGCCAGCACCCTGACCAGCTTCCCAAAGTGCCTCTATTTATGATTTAAACCTGAGCTCAGACCTTGACCCTTTGAAAGGGTGATCTTCCTAGGCATTCCAAGTTCTTTGCTTGGTGCGGGTTTGGAGAGTGGAACAGGGTATTTGCGAGCACCAAGTGGCGGAGGGTGGGGAGACACTGAGAGAAGGAAGGGGCTGAGGGCATCCTGGACAGATGCATAGCACCAGCACTGCCCACCTACCCATACCACACCCAGCACAAGGCTGGGTCCAAGGCAGTGCTTCTGTCCTGGACCCAGCCTGACCCCTTTCTCATGACCTCCGGACAGATCTAAGGCTTCTGCCTTTGTGGGACCAGATAAGCTGGAAATGCAGGCTTTCTGTGGGTGCTGTGCCTTTAAGACCAGCGAAAGGCCGCCCACCCTCGGCCAGGCCTCCCCTGGTCAGAAAGCCCTGTCACTGCAGCTCTTGCCAAGACACGCGCCTCCAAGGTCCAAAGCAAACAGGAGCGAGTGAGAAACTCCCCCAGTCCCTCCTGTGTGCACCCACGCAGCCCCTGCCTTCATGAGCCACTCAACCGGTTCTACCTGATGCCCACCCTGCTCCATTGCCCAGGGCCTTCCCTCCCCTAGGTGGGCTCTGAGGCCACCAGGGACCCAGAACCTCCCCTGGGCGCCTGGGGCCTGGATTCCAAGACCATTAGCACAGGCTGCTACGTCACCATTTGGAAGGCTCCGTGGAGTCCGTGTCAAGACAGCCTGGGCTGCTGCCACCTCCCCACTTGGCTCCAGCCTGCCCACCTCACCGAATAGGCCCAGAAGCCAGTGCTAGGCTAGGTCCCTGCCAAGCCCACAGGGCTCTGGTGGGTCTGAGCAGACCGAGGTCATGGGTGAGGCACCCAGAAGAAGGCCTGACTGACAAGCATCACAGGCAGAGAGGGACACATGGTTAAATGACAGGTAGCAGAGAACGGTTTCCAGCGAGGGCTCCAGAGCCAGGCTGCCTGGGATTGAGGCCCAGCTCTGCTACTTGCCAGCTGCATGAATGTGGGCAATTGCCTCAATTTTCTCATCTGCAAAACCGACCCAAAGTACCCACATCTCAGTGTTGTTATGAGGATTAGAGGAGCTAATCCTTGAAAAGCCTTCAGAATAGTGCCTGATTGGAATCAGAATAGTGCCTTCAGACGAGTGCAAGTCACAAAGTGCCAATATGAAGTGGAATTCTAAAGAAGGAACCAAGACCTCAATGCACCTGGATGACTGGGGCTGGGGCTGGGCAGGGAAGTAGGTAGGTCTTAGGTGTCTGGAGTCTCAGGGGGAGACAGAGACCCTCGTGGTGTCACTGTCATTTAGCCTTGACCTCAGAAGGTCTCTGCTGACAACGTGTGGGTCTGATTCTGTGCCTGGCACGGGTGGGGGTCGGAGACAGGTTGAGGTGGAGATTACAAGATGGCATGAGGCCTCCCCAGGAGCTGCAGAGCAGTGGAAGGATGAGCAGGGCGGCTGCTCGCAGGGGGGACTCGGCACAAGACTGCTTGTGCTGGGTGCAGCAGGGTGACCCAGACAGCCCTGTGCAGTGGACATGGCAGTGGGTGATACAATGCTTGCCAAGGAACTGGAGATATCCAGAGATGAGACTGACTAGACAGGGAAGAATTCTTAGAGGAGAAGAGACTTGAATTGAACCTCAGAGTGACAGGCTGCATGGGCTCACTCTAATGGCTTCATAGGGGATTATTCCAGATGAAAATGAGGCATTCAAGGCTGGGCACAGTGGCTCACGCCTGTAATCCTAGCACTTTGGGAGGCCGAGGCAGGTGGATCACGAGCTCAAGAGATCGAGACCATCCTGGCCAACATGGTGAAATCCTGTCTCTACTAAAAATACAAAAGTTAACTGAGCATGGAGGCGTGTGCTTGTAGTCCCAGCTACTCGGGAGGCTGAGGCAGGAGAAACACTTGAACCCGGGAAGCGGAGGTTGCAGTGAGCCAAGATCGTGCCACTGCACTCCAGCCTGGTGACAGAGTGAGACTCCGTCTTTAAAAAAAAAAAAAAAAAGAAAAGAAAAAGAAAAAGAAAATGAGGCACTCACCTCAAGCTGCTGCCCTCTCTCAGTCCCATTATTAAGCAGAGCACAGAGGTGTGAGCCTGCGCCCAGGCTCCTAAACAGAAGGTGCTCAGGAAAGATGGAAGATGCAAGAAGGTAAACTCTAATGTCATGATTGTAAATGATGTGGATGGTGAGACAGATCTGCTGTCAAGGGCGAGACGATGGAAGATGGCAGTCAGGGAAGGAGAGTGGGACGGGAAGGGGTGGCCCGCTAAGAATCCATTCAGGACACTTACATTCCCAGAGGTGGAGCCCTAAGGACGTGCTCAGGGGAACAAAAAGGGTGTTTTCCCTGCTGTTCCAGCAAGAGAAAGATTAAGAAAGGGTGAAGTCGGCCAGGCACAGTGGCTCACACCTGTAATCCCAGCACTTTGGGAGGCCGAGGCGGGCAGATCACCTGAGGTCAGGAGTTCGAGACCAGTCTGGCCAACACAGCAAAACCCCGTTTGTACTAAAAATACAAAAAGTAGCCAGGTGTAGTGGCACATGCCTGTAATTGCAGCCACTTGGGAGGCTGAAGCAGGAGAACTGCTTGTACCCGGGAGGCGGAGGTTGCAGTGAGCCAAGATTGCACCACTGCATTGTAGCCTGGGTGACAGAGCGTGACTCCACCTAAAAAATTTTTTTAAAAAGAAAGAGCTAAGTCTCTTTCCTGAGGAGGGTGTGTACAGGGAGGAGGGGTCTCCTGGGCTCCTGTCCGCAGCTCAGCATTCACTCTCAGAAGGAAGATTCGCTCTCAGAAGGGTCAGCCTGGCACACTGACCTGGAGAGGGTAAGTGGACCCCAGGCAGAGGTAGGGACAGCACGGACAGGCTGCCTCAACACACTCTCACCAGCTGGCTGCGCGGAAAGGTCCCAAGAGCACTTGACAAAGAGCCCTGCACTCCTCATCAGCAATCGTGGGAGACATGGAGATGGGAGCAACACCCAAGGACACAAAATGGGCAACGGTCCCAGCTTTTAAAGAAGAAGGCAGTGAATTCCAGAGTAGAGAAGGGCAGCGTCATTGCTGGTCATGGTTAAGTAAAACATGGACTCCCTGAGGAATGCTGGGAGAGCCTGGGAAGGGGCTCTGCACACTCGCCCAGGCAGTGTCAGACAGAGGGGTGCACCAGGAAGAAAGGGGGCCTGGCAGTGAGTGAGCTACTGGACCGGTAGGCCCGGGATGTGTCACAGCTGAGACCTCCAGGCCCTTGTGTCTCTCATGATCCCCCAGGGCCCTGGGGGCTACAGGGCGGCACTGACAGATCCACAGCTCGAGGGCCGGCACAGTCCAACAGGGCGGAGTGGCTCCAATGGGAACCTGTCCTGTTGGATGTTTTAATCAACCCAGGATGAGGACAGAGACACAGTACTGGCAGCACGATCTCATTTAGCAAAAGCTGTGCCAGGATTAGGAGCCAAAAAAGAGGTCTGAACAGATGGTAATGACAGCTCAAATCTGACAAGATGCAAAGTCTTAAATGGAGAGACAAAAGGACAAGGCTTAGTACGAGGATCTTAAAATTTACTGTTCAAACTTTTTGGAGCAAATGGAAGGGCCGTATCAATATTAACAGCCATGACGCCAAAATCTTAGGTGCAAGCCGGGAGGGTCCAGGCAGCCTGAGTTGTACAGGTCCCCCTCCTGGCAGTGAGGATGAGAAAGGAGTTCTGAGGACTGTGTGTTCAGTATGTCTTGGGGCAGAAGTCTGTCCCCAGATCTGTGAAATCTTAGGCTGCCTTAGGAAACTCAGAATATGGGACTTACCCAGGGAGTGTGGCTAAGAAGGGGAGGTGCCAGGATTGGCACTCAGGTCTGATATGCAGCACAGCATTCATTCGGCGACCCTGAAACCACTCCAGCTCAGCTGTTCATTGCCTTCCAGAAGGAAACCAGCAATGCCTGCTCTATTATGCCCCAAATTCCCATCTGACAGATGAGCCAAGAAACCCAGTACCTCATCTGCTTCTCCTCCACTCCACTGGTGTCCACCGAGCCCTGAGTCTTGGAAGAGTCGAGGACGTGGCTTTTCCCACTCCTCGTGGAGAGGTGGTTTGCAGGCTTGCCTCCAAGTTGCCTCTCCTCTAAGCCCACATGGTAGGGCAAGGCAGGGTCACCCAGGCTGAAAGAGCGTTCTGGCACGAGATCTCACCCAAGGGCTTTGCCAAGCAAGAGTGACTTTGAATCAGCTTTCCTCAAACCTCAGGTATTTCTACACCACACACAACCTTTGCTATATCCTTGAATTACATATACTGTGGTTCATATAACATACACAGATGTGCCTTGACTTACAATGGGGTTACGTTCTGATAAAGTCATTGTTAAGTTGAAAATATCCCAAGTTCAAAATGTACTAATACCCCCATTGACCCATCATAAAGCTGAAAAATTGTAAGTCACACCATCATAAGTCTGGAAATGGACTGTATTTTTAAAGCAATTTGCCTTTTTTTTTTTTTTTAAACTTTAAGAAAAAAATTTGCTAAGGAAACTTTGGATCGCCACCATGAATAAACAACGAGGACCACTGGCTCCAACAGAAAAGCACACACGATGAAAACAAAGCTATGTAGTACATTTGAACTGTGCCACAAATGAAGAGGCTGAGTCTGTGGCCCGCTCCCTCTTTGCTACAAAGATTTACTAGACAGGGGTTAAAGATCATCGAACATCAAACTGCAACAAGTCAGAAGGCTTGGAAGAGAACTGCAGGGAGACAAACTTTTCCCACTGTGTGACGCAGAAGGATTGATACTGCCTCTCTGCCACCTGAGATCCTCTCATATATCATGGTGTTGGGTGGACTACAGCTTTAGGAAGCCAACATCAGACTAGTATGGTGCCTGGTCCTTCACAGTGGCTGAAGGAAGAGGCTGAAGAATGAGGCTTAAGTTCCCATTGGTGAGATGGGAATATGAAATAGCATGTATATACTACCAGTGTCGTGGTGAGAAAAAGAAAAGAAAAGAATGGAAAGTACCCAGCAATGTGCCTGGTGCTTAATATATCTATTTGCAGCCTGGAGAAGAGAGCTGTGGTCACTTGAAATATAAAGGTTATCCTTATCCATTTAACTAGCTTACTCCAGTGCCTAAGATGCGTACATGTATGAGTTTGTATATTTTTTCCCTTTCTCTATTTGCTAAAAATGGAAGCTTCTTGGCCCCAGAATGGAGTTGGTTTCAACTAAAAGCTGTAGGCTGACAACCATCCCCTTCCTCCCAGCTGAGTTCAGCCCCTCTTCAATTGGGCAAAAATAAAACGGGGACAATTTAGACTTTAAAGACCATCTCCATAAACAAAACAAACCCACTCCACAATTTGTCTAGGGCATTCCTCCCTCCAAAGCCTCCTTATTTAATTTCTGGGGAATTTTAAATAGAGGGCTTGCAAAAATCCAGTACCGCCTGACGTCAGCAGCTCTCTGACAACGTGGATTCTTCTGCTTGGTGTGGGGAGTAGCCACCACGAATGCCGATGCTTTTCCAGGCTCCTTTCCCAGTTGGAATTTGGGAGCCACTGGTGTCACCCTAGGAGACAAGAGACAGAGGGCACCCTAGTGCCCAAAAGACAGAGTCCCACTTGGGGTCGTTTAACTCTGCATTCCCCAAGCCCTCTGGCCAGGTGAACCAATGAACCTGAGTAATGCCTACACTAGTGTCATCTTAGTGTGTTTATTTAAATTGCCTTTATTTTTAAAAACTTAAACATGTATTTCAAAAAGACATTTTCCTATGCTACAATGGATGGAAAACCAGCATTCCTAGGTATAGATGGGAGATTCTGGAAAAACACATACAATGAAACAATGCCATGAAGTTCAACAAGAGATCAAGGCAAGTTCTAGCAACACTCTAAGCCTGGGTCAGATTTACTCTTGGTCAAACAAACAAATGACATCAGCCAGCGTTTGACAGATGTTAACAGCACAGGAGCCCCAGATGGAGATGTTCCCTTTGACCCAATGTGTAGTGAAAGAGAACTGAAAGGAAAGAACCTTCTCGTGACGGGATGCAATGCCACTCAATTGTGTCCGCCCAGCACGTGTTTATATGACCTGCTCTCTGGGAACCACCGAACTTCTTCAGGTGAAGCCTTGGATAAAGAATCCACAGACCAGGCCGGGCGCGGTGGCTCACGCCTGCAATCCCAGCACTTTGGGACGCCCAGGTGGGTGGATCACAAGGTCAGGAGATCGAGACCATCCTGGCTAACACGGAGAAACCCCGTCTCTACTAAAAAATACAAAAAAAATTAGCTAGGCATGGTGGCGGGCACCTGTAGTCCCAGCTACCTGGGAGGCTGAGGCAGGAGAATGGCGTGAACCTGGGATGCAGAGCTTGCAGTGGGCTGAGATCGTGCCACTGCACTCCAGCCTGGGCGACAGAGTGAGGCTCCGTCTCAAAAAAAAAAAAAAAGAATCTGCAGACCCTTGGTTCAAATCCAAGCCTGGCCACAAGCAAGCTCTGAGGTCTCAACTGTTTCCTCTGAAAAATGGAAACAAAGCCACCTGCCCTGCTTACCCCTAGAGTTACTCTGAGATAATAGAGGAGAAAAGTGCTTTGAAAAGTATAGGCCAGGTGTGGTAGCTCACACCTGTAATCCCGGCACTTTGGGAGGCCGAGGCGGGCGAATCGTTTGAGTCCAGGTGTTCAAGACCAGCCTGGAAAACATGGTGAAACCTTGTCTCTACTAAAAATGTATTTTAAAAAATTTAGCTGAGCATAGTGGTGCACACCTGTAGTCCCAGCTGCTAGGGGGCTGAGGTGGGAGGATCACTTGAGCCCAGGAGGTCATAGCTGCAGTGAGCCGTGATTGTGCCACTGCACTCTATCCTGGGCAACAGAGCGAGACTAAGTCTCAAAAAAAAAAAGTCTCCAGGCTATAGGCTGGTGGGGGCAGAGGGGTTACTATTCCAAGCAATGTCAGAAACCCAATGGACTCCTAACCATCCCCTAATAGAACTTACTGCCTAAACTGGATGGTAGCCCATCCCTGTCCATCAGAGAAAAGGAAAGGAAGGTGAATATGCCACTTGACAATTTTCTTTCACAGTTGGCCTTTCCCAATAGCCACATGAGTTTCAAATATTATGCTCATGTTACAGATATGGAAACTGAGGAGCAGAATAGCCACATGCTGGCCACAGAGTGGCTATTCAGTGGCAGATTTGAAGCCTTTCTTGGGGCCTGGGGCAAGTGCCCTCTATCTTGCTTTTTGACTGCACATGCAGCAGGGTTCAGAAGCCCCCAAATGTGTTGATATCTTTGATTCATTGCTGTATCCAGGTCCCATCCTTCGAAGCTACCAACTTTGTGATGCTCCCGACTCCCCTGCCAGCCAGCGTTTTGCTCTCCTAACTCACGGCTCCCTCATCACCTTGACCTTAGGTTTGGATTGGCCAGTCCCCCAGCGAGATCAAGAGCTCTCTGAGGACATAGGCTGAGTCTTGCTCATCTTGGCATCCTGTCAAGCTCAGGCTCTCTGCAGCCCAGCTCCTGGGGTCAATGCGGGATCAGCACCGGGCATCTTCCCTCCTGCTGTCTTCCTGCTGGCCCCCGCAACTTCTGCTCTGCAAGAATCCTGTGCGGTGACTCAGCCCCTGGGCAATGTTCCTTCCTCCAGTTCCCCACTTTGGGGAAATGCCTTTCACCCACAGCAAGCACCTCTAGCTTACCCAGGAGGATCTGCCTTCACAGACCCAAGGCACAGAGGTTTTTGTTGCTTGTTGCATAATTTGCCCAGTATCATCCAATGAGCTAATCCTTCCAGTCCCGAGAGCTCATGTAGTCTGCTTGGATACCTGACCTGGCCATTTCCATCTAGGCCTCTCCCTTTACAGGAATGGAAGATCAAAGCTCAGGGAGGCCCCACAGGCTAATCACCAGGAACAGGCCCACATTCCTGGAGGAATGCAGCCCACTGCAAGCTCTTCGTCCTGTGTTCACGCCATTCTCCTACCTCAGCCTCCCGAGTAGCTGGGACTACTACACTAGCAGCACCTCCCAAGCCCATTCAAGGCAGCCCCCCAGGTCGTTTGCAGGCCTCTACTGGGAATCTTGGTGGCACTGCCTCTCATCCAGGGACCACAAACAAAGTCCTCCTAGGTGCAACTCGGGGCACTGGAATGGGCAGCCCCAGAGACCTGTTCTCCCCAACTCCCAGAGGACAGTGGGGAGACAGCTACACCAAAAATAGTTCCCCAACCAGGGCACAAGCCTCCAGTGGATTCACCAAGAGGCAGCAGAGTGTACAGGGGAGAACTGTGGATGACCTGAACCCTCTGGCCCTTGGCTTTCTTATCTGTAAAATAGGCATCACGATACCCGTACTTTACAGGGCAGTGGTGATCATTATAAGAAAAAAGGCGTTTCGTTCCCTGCCTGACATATAGGAGGTGCTTCAATAACCTCTTTCTTGCCTTTCTCATTCGTTTCATCAGTTTCTGATATTAAGTCTCCAGAAAGCAGCAAATGGGTCTAACTTGAGCCCTAAATCCCCTTGTTCTGGGATAGCCATCCTGGGGCCTCAGCTAGGTTTGTGGTGACCTAGGATTAGGTTCTCTCACTGAGCGCCTTCCTGCCCCATTCCCTTCCTGTTTCTTTTACCTCTGGGAACCATCTTGTCTTCCTGGTTCCCAAGAATTGGTCTAGTACAGATCCCACCCCAATCCAAGGAGAAAAGGCCACACTAAAACCAGATACTCCGCTAGTCCAGATACCCCCCAAGACTGGCCCAGACCAGGTTTCTCATTCTAGAGACTTGCCACAGTTACAGTGACTGGTCAGGCCATGGTGACTGACACCCATGAGTACCGGTGAGTGATACAGCTCTTCCCACACTGACCTGTCAATCTCTGGTGCCTCCCACCCCCAGCACCCACAGGGGAAGGGCCTGCAGAGAGTCAACCACCTTGTCCCACAACCAACCAGCAACCATGTCCCCTCAGCTGGGTCAGGGTGGGCAATTATCTGCATCCCCTGTAGACTGTGCTCCATAGAGATGGGGATCACGTCTTTCCTGTTCACCTCTGTGCATCAGTACCTGGCACACAGCAGGAGATAAAGGCTGGGAAATGAGTGAATTGCATGAACAAATGTCTGATTTCTAGCTCCTGACTATACACTTGCTTGGTTGCTGGGTTCTGGTTTTCTCCACTCTGAATAAGGCCCAGCCTTTGATCAATATCCTACCACCGTTTAACAGGAAGATCCCACTACCTGAGCGCAGAGAGATGGGTAGAAAGCTGGAGGAAGTCACTGACCTGGCCTGCCTGCCACACCCCCATCTCCCAGCCTCCATGGGGTCCTCCAACCACCTCTGGGGGGGCCCTGGCAGGGAGGCCTCTATGGGGAGGTCTAGACGGAGTCAGATAATACAGGAGTCAGTGGGGCATGGAGGTAGGGGATGGCTGTGAGTATTCTGCCCCTTTAAATATACCCTGGCTGTGGCAGGCCAGGATACCCCTGCTGAGTCCCAGCTGTCAGCCATGAGGAGCCACAGCTTCGCTCCCCAGGAAGTGGGCAATATTGCAATATCATGGCATCAGCTCCAGCTCTCCAGTTCTGGCATGGCCCTTAGATTGGATTTGGATGTCTCCATCTCTCAAATCTCACTGTCCTGTCTCTGGGTCAGGGTTCCTGCCTAACCTGGCTATGATTCCACCAGCCCCTTACCCTGGAACCACTTCTAGAATGGATTTTCTCCTTCAAGGGCCTTGAGGTGGTAGGATGATCTCTTGGGGGTGGAGAGACCAGGGTGTGGAGGGCAGGTCAGGCCCCTGAGGTCCAAATCCTCCTCTCACCTGGCACATGAGCACCAACAAGATGTTCTAGCTCCACTGAATGCAGGGGCCTTTTAAATCCAAGGAGGCAAGTTTGTGTCTGGTTGTGCAGTGAGGCCTGGGACATGGAGCCTCACTGGTGCTTGCACTTGGTGCTTGGAAACAGAAGAATAGGGTTAAATACTCCCAAGGGAGCCAGCAAGACAGGAACCCTGGATGCTCATTCTCCCCATGCAAAGCCCAGATGCTGAGGTAACTGTCCTTTCTCTCCTACAAGGAGCGGCCAGTTAAAATCCCACCCTGTGGGCAGTAAGGTTCAGGCCACCCCGGTTCTGCTCCAGTTATCGGCGCCGGGGAAAGCACGCCCCGCATAATGCCAGTGCTCCAGAGCAGCGTTGTTCATGCCCAAGCAGGAAAGAGTCAGTCAGATGCTTGCCCAGGAGGCGCTGGTTAAGGCAGGGGGAGGGGAGGAGAAGAGGGTGCCCCAGGGGCGAGTTGGAGCCCCGAGGGATGAGAATCTCCTGTTCTGTTATCTTCAGGAGCTGGTTAAGGTCTGCTCCAATGTGCTGAGCCATCTCTTTGCCATCCCCGCCCGACTTCCTTCCCACCCACATATCCACGCAGGAAAGATGCATGGCAAGCACTCAGAGAATGCCAGGACACGGGCTGGTGGGCACGACCCAGGTGAGGCAGTGAGAAGGTCCCAGGTAGACAAGAAAGAGTCTGGGAAAACAGGATTCCCCAGTGCACACAAGAAGAAATGGGGCAGTAAAAGGGTCAGGCAAATCCCTACCCCGATACCAGTGGGGGTCAGGGGAGCCCTCCAATGTTTGGCTTTTGAGACCCCTGCACCAAGCCTCTCTTTAAGCGCCAGAGCTATTGCTTTCATGGATCTTGTTTAACTTGAGAAGGACGGGGGAGGGGGCCAAAGAAAACTGCATTCTTCCCCATCAAAGCCAAGAGTCTAAAGTAATACTTCTGGTTGTAACTGATCCTGGCCTGTTTGTGATTACGGGCCCTTTGCTTGCTTTCTGGCAGGGCGGCCCTGGAACCCCGCAGCCCAGCCGACAGGGAGAGACACCCTCGCTCACTTGGATAATCTTGTCCTCATCTGACATAACCAAAAACGTCCATCAGCCTCTCTGCTTTCAGCAGTTCTCCAGGGCAACTCTTCAAAACATTACTTTATTTTAAAAAGGAGGGGAAGCCACCCCAAACTCCTATCATGAAATTCCATGACATTCATCATATTCTTTCTGTTCCCGGCACTGTCCTAAAAACCACGAAAAGCACCAGCTGGCCCACTGGCTATTGCACATTACAAGATCAGATCGTCTTTTGCTTCTGCCCTACCTCCTACCCTTATGTTAGGGGAGAAAACACAGATCCCCCTCGCACGCACATGCACACCCTTTCGCTGCCATAGTACAGAAGTGGCTCAGGGAAGCTCGAGACTATTTCTAAGCTGTTCCTTCTCCAGAAATTTAATCTGTGATGTACTTGGCTTCACAAAGCCCATTCCAAAGGTGTTCAGGAGTCCACGATCCCTGTGATCATCATTGCAAACCCAAGGACGTTTGTAGCCAGTGACCCATTTGGCTGCGGGGAAGAGCTGGCTGAAGGCTTGCCAACATGGTCAAATTCCCCTTGCCTGCTCCCTCTGAGCTGAAACTGGCTTGTTTTCAGGTCCCTGGGGGTAAGAGGGAATCTTAGGAGCTCCAGAACGACAGAGATAAAGTTGGCTTCTTGCCCAGCTTGGTAACAGCACAATGGTCAGGGGAATGGGGTGGCTTGGTGTCTGGAAAGCAACCATGGCCGCTGTCTCCACTCCTAATCACTCTTCCATGCTGTGAATGAGCAAAGCTGTGCTCAGAGAGGTGGAGTGGCTTGCCTGAGGTCACTTGGTTGTTTGGTAGCTGAGCTTAGAGTCTGGGTTGACCAAGCTCCTCTTAGGCACAGCCTGGCCTTCCTCCCACGATGGCACGCCACTGCTCTGCCCATTAACATGACACTCTGAGCACCATGCCAAGTGGCTATTCCTTGACCCAATGCCTCGAGCAAGAAGTGAGCGTCTAGAACTGGCAGAAAGCCCCACCAGCGCACAGAAAGGTCATTTGGCCAAACCAAGCATGGGAGACTCAAGTAGCCAATGCTTCAGGTGCTGGCTTGCGGTCTCAAGTGCAAGACCCCAAGCCCTGTATCCTCGCCACACCTGCACGCTACCCCTGATCACAGCAGCTCAAGATCCTGCTGTAATCAAAAGATGGTGAGCACGCTGAGCAGAGAGAAGGCTGGGGCCTGTGAGAATGCCACTTAAAAGTACAGAAAACAAAAGAGAAAGACATCATGTCCAGAAACACCAGAGCTGGATGCCTGGCCAACCTCAACAGCGACCTCACCCTCTTCCTGGGGGAAGGGAGGAACACAAGGGGCTGAGGAGGCAGAGCCTCTGGACCTGACAGGGGACTCACAGCCAGCTGTGGGGCAGCCCCACCTTCCCTGGAGCGCACCATGCCTCCTTCCCAGCCTGATGCCAGCCCCCAGAAGCTTTGCTAGATGGGGAAGTCTGCATTCTCCAGTTGGGGCATGTGAAGCTGATCTTGCGGGGAGAGGAGAGGGGAGTTAGAAAAACAAGGCTCTTTAAATGCACAGGGGCGGTGCCTTTGCCTGGCTCCAGGCTCTAGCCCTAGTAACAGGCCGAAGGGACCAGGCCAGGTGAGCAGCAGCTCAGCAGTGGCAGCAGCTGGAGAGCCCTGCTTCCCCTCCTCCCATCACCTGGCACCTGCCACATCACTCCAGGCCTCCTGGGACCTCACAGACAGCCACCACTGCACTAGCAGCCCGCAGATGTGCCACAGCCCTGCCTCAAACTCACTACGATGCTGGGCACGTGGCTTCACTCTTCCAGGCCTCCACTCTCCCTCAGCCCCTGAGCACAGTGGGGAAGAACAGAGGAAAAGCTTTCTTTGTCTATATTTAAGGCCCTTCAAAGCCCTTGACCAGCTCCTCCAGCTTCTCTCAGGCAGCCCCCAGGCACTGTGGCTGGATCACACCTGTCCACTTCACCCTCCACACCCCTGCATGAATCATTCAGGCTTACTCTGCTTGGAGCACCTTCCTCCTTCAGCTTTGCCGTCCACCTGAGGCCGGCCCCTTGTTCAAGGCCTACCTTCTCCAGAAGTCTTCCCCCACCCACCCAATCCAGGCCCTGTCCCTGTCTCTGAGCAAGCTTGACAATATTCATGAAAGCTCACAGTACCCAGAGCAGACTATGCCATTCTTCTGAGTCCTGTCTCCAGTCTTCAGCCACACCTTGCTTTCTGCCTTGCACACTGTAGGTGCAGAGTGAAAATGACTGACTCACTACATCTGGGCTTTTTACCTTGCAGGTAAAGAGACAGCCCTAGGATGCTGTTACCTTCAGCAATGGGAAGACAGGGACAGCTGCCTCTTGTCCACGTGCATCCTAGTGCTGGGCATGCCACAGGGCACACAGTAGGTGCTCATGTTTGTTGACTGAATGAGCAAACCACATCCTGTGGAAGCAGCCCCTGCATGTAGGATTTCACTGAGGGCTGAGACGTGATGAATGCTGGGGTAGGGTGCAGCATTCATCACATGCAGAAAAGAGAGAGGGTGGCAGGTGCAGAAAGAGAGAGGGTGGCAGGTGACAGGTCTTCCTTAGGGGGCGTGTGTTTGGGGGAGTGGCCAGGATGGGTCTGCATAGTGAAAAGAAGAAGGCAGTGTAGGCTGCAGCACTGACCAGCACCACCCTCACACCCTTGGTGCTGCCCACCAGGTAAGCAGACTGACCCACCCACGCAGACCAGCCCCTCCCCAGGGACCTGGTGAGCCAAAGGTGGGAACGCTCATGCAACTCTCTTGTGGGAAAATGAGTCAACATGCTTCTCTTTCCTTTCAGATTCCCTCTGACCTGCTGCCCCTGGCCTTTCTCCTGCCCCAGTGGGGCTTTAGCACAACTGACCGCTGCTTTCCTGCTCTCTGTGGCTGGGGAACTCATGTGGTGAAGCAGTCTGCAGTTTGGCTTTGCAAAGAAGTGAAATCTACAATGCAAGCATCCAGATCTCCAAACCCCCGTCAGATGGCAATGACTGAAGCTCATGCCCCACCTCCCAGCTGTGCAACCTTGGGGCAAGTCACTTCACCCCTCTGGGCTTCAACTTCCTCCTTGGAAAGACAGAATGCCAACATCCATCCTGCCTCTTGCCAAGATGTTTTATAGACTGCATGGTTTTATATCTTGTAAAACATAAAAATACTGTGATTCAGAAAGAGATCACCTTTTAAAAAGTCCAAAATTCCCCCCTCTTAGCTAGCACAAGCAGGCATCTCTCCAGGTGGCCGTGACCTCCTCAATAACCCTCCTGGCAGGAGTGTGGGAGAACAGAACATGCAGGCTTCTGGCCACTGTCCTTAGAGCTTTCCAGGACATGGGGATCCCAGGGCAGCCTGTGGCACTGCCAACGGGCCCTGTCACGAGAGGAGAGAGGGATCTGCTATCGCACACCAGTCTCAAAACCCACCCACAGTTCACTCGCTTTACGGACAGTCCTTGGCAGACTTACTCTGAGTTTGGCCTTTGCTCATTTCCCATGGTGCTCCTGGGCCACTTCCCCACAATCTGATCCAATAAAAACTCAGGGGAGGCAAATGAACTTTAGCCTGAGCCTGAGAGATGCCCAGCTAAAAAGGGGAGTGTGGAGCTGGGGCTGAGACAGTTGGATGAAACAAAACCAATGATAATCATACACAGCATATTTCAGAGGGAAATGAACTCAGGGCTTCTATGAGCCAGAAGTTTCCCTCGGTTTCCTGGGATTCCACAGCTCAGCTCCCAGGACGGGGAGCCCTGCTGAGCCCTGGCTCCCCCAGACTTTGCAGGCCATCTGGGTAAACTGGGTCACCCCAGCTACGCCCCCACAGCGAGGCCAGGATTCTAGGTCAGCACTGGAAACCCAGAGGATGAGGTTATGGAATCTGAAAAGATGCTGAGAGGGACGAGGGCAGCCGTCCCCCACTCCCACCAGAACAATTACAGAAAACCCAACTGCTGAAGGGTGTAATATCACACGGCCACAGGATAAGCTGGGGAGAGAATGAGGAAGGGGCATTTTCCCAACCCAAATTCCCCAAGGTCTTGAAAAATTATACTCCCCAGAAAGTGTTTGCTTTACACTTTGCCGAAATCTGTTATGTAACAGTGGAGAAAATGTGTGGGGTGATCTTTTTCCCTGCACTTCAGCCGGGGAGGAGGGTGAGAGACCTGTCATTTCTACTGGGGACAAAGGCAGTGTCTGTGTGTTGGGGGCAGGCACAGGGTCTCCAGGGCTGCCCACTCACAGGGTACCTGTGCAAAGGTACACCTGAGTCAGAGGAGGCAAGACACCTCTGTCAGCTCCGCTGCAGGGCTCCAAGTAGGCACGCAGTGACAGCTGTACCTAGAATAACACTCCTTGGCCTGGCACCCGCCTCTGCCCTTGCTCACTCCTGCCCTCCCAGAACCAGTGAGCCTTCTGCTGTTTCCTGCATTCACCAAGGCCCACCTGTCCCCAGCTTTAACAACACCTCAATGGCGTCTTTCCTGACCACACCCCCACCGCCTCCCTGCTGCTGACCTCTCCACAGCGCCTGCTTGTTTCCTGACTTGTGCTTGTCAACACCTACAATTACTTCCTTGGTTTACTTGTTACATGTCTCTTCGCAATATTTGAGCCCCATGAGGGCTTTGTTGGCCTCTGTCACTTCTGGATCCCAGTCTAACACTTAGTCAGCTCATACAGATTTACTGATGGCCGACCAACCAGCCATTGGAAGACTGGCTTCACAGGCCCCTCGGTGTTCAAACTTGGAAAAACAACATTTTGGAGATGCTCACCGGCTCAGTCAGTAGAAACCTGTTTGTCTCCCAAAGGGAAGGCGGCCAGGTGTTGCCCTGAGGCTACAACTGGGGTGAGCAGTGGTTGTCACTCTGGGACTTCTGTGGGACTTCCAGGGCTGCATGCCACACCAAGGCCACCACTGACCCATATATATTGCTGAGAAATAACTATTCAAGGAAAATGGGCTTGGAGGAGTTTGGGACACAAGAGGTCCACAGAGCCAATAGGTCCACAGAGTCAGGCCACAGCAACTGGACACTAGGCCTGTCCAACCTGGGCAGGGTGACAGTGTGGTGGAGGGAGCACCCCCATGCTCACTGCCCCACCTGCCTGCCTGGCAGCTGGCTCCACGCAGGTGGCTGGCAGCACTCGGCGTTGACAAGCCCTTGGATGCCTCCCTGACAACAGGCCCTGCGGATCCAGCTGGAGGAAAGCACTATTTGCAGAGCCGCCCAGCCCCTGCCACACCTGTGCCTGCCACCCTCCTCCCCACACAGCCTGGAGGGCTTGCCTCAAGGCTCACTCTTCTCAGGGAGCTCTCCTGCTCACCAGCTTCCCGAGGCCCTATCCGCCCACCTCCTGCTGCCCAGCTCCCACTTTTCTTCTGCTTGGGGCACCTAGATGCCTGCTGTGCAGTCGCAGCCCCACCACGTCCCATACTCTTCACTCTGCCTGTCTAATCCCTTCATTCTCCCAGCCCTGCTCAATGCCTCTGACTCCTCCAGGAAGCCTTCTCGACTATGCTTGTCTTCACCCCCCACACTTCAGCTCTGCACCATGCAACAGGGCTACTGAGGGACCATCAGTGTGGGGTTGTCACAAAAGCCCCTGATCCCATGAGGCCACCAATGGGACCCTGACTTCTGTCGCCAACCCTTCTTCCTGCTGGACTCTGTTGATTAGGCTGGGACAAGGATAGCTGCCCAAGCAAGAACTCCAGGGGAGTGAGTCTGGCCCCAGAACGGGTTGTCCTGGTCTCACTACCTGACAGTAAACCCTCTGCCACTATAGCCACCTCACAGACCCTCAGGACTGACAGTCCTCAGATACCACCAAGTCAGTTCTATGACCAGATGGGGAAATCGAGGCCACAAGAGAGAAACTGGCCCCCTGCAGGCCCCAGGGTTAATCTGTGGCAGAGCGGCCCCAATCAGTGGTCTTACTAGTGGCTGTCACTTACTGAGCACCCACTGTGTGCCAGGCCCTGCATGAAGCACTAAATTCTTTTTGTGTTTATTATTATTATTTTTTATTTTTTTGTAGAGACAGGGCCTTGCTATGTTGCCCGGGCTGGGCTTGAACTCCTGGCCTCAAGTTACCCTCCCACCTCAACATCCCAAAGTTTTGGGATTACACGCATGAGCCACCATTCCTGGCCCTGAATTCCTTTTGAATTAGCATATACCAACCCCATAGCTGTGGGTACAATTATCCCCATTTTACAGGTAAGGAAACTGATGCTGAGAGGACCCGAGAAACTTTCCCAGGATCACCACAGGAAGTAACCAAATCAAGATGAAAAGCAGGCTTCTCTAACACGAAGTCCATGTTCCTAACTGCTAGGCTATCCTGCAATCTCATTTGCAACATAATCTTGATCCTGGAGTGAATAAAGCTGAGCAGAAGGGCCCGAGGCTGGGCTAGCATGCCTGCCTCTGCTCCTGGCTTTATCCTCCCCGGCCCTTTCCCCTCCAGCCAGCTCTGTGAAGTGGGTAACAGCAAGAGATCATCTTGGGCCAAAAGGGACTCTGCTGATGAGACTGATATAGCAAGAACACACACACAGGCTGCACTCCAAGAGAAGGGCTGTCAGTGCACAAGGCTTTCTGATGGCTAGGACAGGACCTCCTGGGCCAGGCACCACCTCTGTGGCACCACATCTAAATGGAGACTGGTTCATTGGAGCCAGCATTCTACTGTTGTAGAAATAAGCATGTTAGTTCAGTAATAAACCTGCCCTTCTGGAAACAGCCTAGCCTATCTTTGTTGGGACACTTCTTTTCCAGGAGCAGGCGAATGTGGAAGTCTGAATTATAATAGTAATCAGGTGGTTACACAGTAAGCACAGAATCTAAGCAAAATGTAGAAGATACACATAAAAACCATTTAAGACAATGCAGGCTGGGCGCGGTGGCTCACACCTGTAATCCCAGCACTTTGGGAGGCTGAGGCAGGTGGATCATTTGAGGCCAGGAGTTCAAGACCAGCTTGACCAACATGAAGAAACCCATCTCTACTGAAAACACAAAAATCAGGCAGGCATGGTGGTGCCTGCCTGTAATCCCATTTACATGGGAGGCTGAGGAAAGAGAATCACTTGAACCTGCGAGGCAGAGGTTGCAGTGAGCTGAGATTTGCACCACTGTACTCCGGCCTGGGTGACAGAGCAAGATCCTATCTTAAAAAAAAAAAAAAAAAAAAAGCAAAGTCTGTAAGGCTATCCCAGGCTCACAATACAGTATACCAGAATAAGCACATCAATTAGACTCTAAGCTCCATAAAGGCAGGAACCTCATGGATGTATACACAATTAGCACAAAGTATTCAAGTATTCAAGAACTGTGAAATAAATGCATGAATAAATGAACCACTCCTACATAGAGTGTATTTCATCCTTACAGAAAGCTCATGTGGTATGTATCACTACCCACTCTTAACCATCAGAAAACGAACTGATTTCTACTTATATCACACAGTATAGACTTAGATCTTAAACCCGGTATTGGAATTCTGGATTCTTCACCCTCCCCACCACATGCACAGGTACTGAACAAGTAAAATGGCTGCAGCCACCATGTTTTTGGGTAACTTTTCTTTAAAACGTGCCCACCAACAGCCTCTGCTGAAGAGGTTGGTTAGGTAACCATGTTTATACTCTGTGATGCATCTCTGGGACACAGCCTATTGGACCAGGGCTGGACACCTGATCTAACATTTGTCAATCCATTGCTGGTGAGGAAACAATCAGATTGAAACTTTGAATTCTGAACTCAGAGAACCAGAGGTCAAACTCAGT